ATTTTTTTTTTTTTCTTGTGATTTGTAAAAGTTCTTTATGTATTCTGGATGTCCATCCTTTCGTTATATAACTGGCTTATTGAGTGAGATAGGCTTTGGTAGTTTGAAAATAGAGAGCAACTTTGTGTGTGTGTGTGTGTGTGTGCCACCGGCCGTAAACAGTTACTCCCCACTTCTGTGAATCTGGGCCGACTGACGCTTTCCCATTAGCTTAAGGTATTGTAAAGTCTGGCCTCATCAGTTTACAATCTCTATTTTCTCTCTCTCCCCTTTCTCCCTTCTTCCCTCCTCCCCTTCCCCTCCCGAGGTTCAGTCTTGTTCAGGCCCAGAAACTTGTAGTGGAGAAAAGGAGTGAGTTGATTTCTTAACTGTTTCTGTCCTTTGATTCTCTTCTTCCTTCCCGGCCTCTGGGCCCTTGTTGTAGACTCTGGCTCTTCAAGATTGAGGGGAGAAAGGAAGCAGAGATAATGGTCAAACAGCCTTAAGAGACCAGCATTTGTTAGCTGGTACTCTGGGTGTAGCTGCTGTCCATGTGCTGGGTCTTTGTTTTGTGGGTAATACGGGCTGTTGGGAACCTTATGACAGAAATCTCCCATCTGCAGCCCTTTTGCTTTTGCCTTAGGTCAGGAGTTGGCAAACTACATTCAGCTGATGGGCCAAATCCCGCCTGACATCTGTTTTTGTATGGCTTGAAGGCCAAGAGTGATTTATACATTTGTAAATGGTTGAGAAAAAAAGAAGCAGGTTTAGTGACATAAAAATTACATGAAATACAAATTTCAGTTTCCATAAAATTTTATTGGAATATAGCCATATTATTTGCCTATAGTTCTCAAATGATTGCATTAATGGAGATAGAAATTAATGAGCTGGCGGAGCGTGGCAGCTCACGCCTAAAATCCCTAAAATCCCAGCACTTTGGGAGGCGGAGACCAGCCTGGCCAACATAGTGAAACCCCATCCCTACTAAAAATACAAAAAATTAGCCTGGCTTGGTGGTGGGTGCCTATAATCCCAGCTACTCGGGAGGCTGAGGCAGGAGAATCTCTTGAACCCTGGAGGTGGAAGTTGCAGTGAGCTGAGATCTTGCCATTGCACTCCAGCCTGAGCGACAAAGTGAGACTACATCTCAAAAAAAAAAAAAAAAAAAAAAAAAAAAAAAAAAAAAATTAATTAGCTAATGTATTAGTCAAAAGTCTTACATTTTAAGGCACAAAAGGTGAACCCTTAATGGATACACTTTTTTTTTTTTTGAGAGATGGAGTCTAGCTCTGTCACTCAGGCTGTAGTGTGCATCGACACCATCTAAGCTCACGGCAGTCACCTCCCAGGGTTCAAGCAATTCTCGTGCCTCAGCCTCCTGGGTAGTTGGGATTACAGGTGCCTGCCACAACCCCAGCTAATTTTTGTATTTTTAGTAAAGACTGGGTTTAACCATGTCTGCCTGCCTTGGCCTCCCAAAGTGCTGGGATTACCAGCATGAGCCACCTCGCCTGGCCTTTTTTTTTTTTTGGGAGGTAGAGTCTCACTCTGTCACCCAGGCTTGAGTGCAGTGGCATGATCTTGACTTACTGTAGCCTCCACCTCTCGGTTTCAAGCAGTGCTCCTTCCTCCGCCTCCTGAGTAGCTGGATTTACACGTGTGGGCCACCACACCTGGCTAATTTTTATGTTTTCAGTAGAGATGGAGTTTCACCATGTTGTCCAGGCTGGTCTCAAACTCTCCACCTCAGGTGATCCTCCCGCGTTCCCGCCTCCTCAAGTGCTGGGATTACAGGCCTAAGCCACTGTGCTGTGCCCAATGTATACACATTTTAAAAAGTCAGGTAGGGGGTCGGGATGAAATGCACAGTGACAAAAACTTTTAAAAAGTCATTTAGGATGTCCCAGGGTGAAATGCAGAATGACAAAAACATTTTAAAATTTTTGCTTTTTATTCTGTAATTCTAGTGATATGAAATGCATATACTTTTTTGTTGTTGTTGTTGTTGTTGTTGTTGTTGTTTTTTCCAGAAATCCTGCTGTGGATTTAGCTGACACACATTCTTCACCACCTCTCATACTTCCAATGCTTTTACCACTTTTTTTGGTTGAATTACTATAGAGTTTGTTATTACTCTTACTCACAAATGAGCCAACTAGTGTAATATGATTGCTTTTTCTTTCCTATACATACCTTTTGTTTTCCCTGAAGTTAACTGATTTATATTTTGTTTTTTTAGTTTTTCTCTGTACCGATCATCCAGAGAACTGGGAGCTCTTTTCCAGATGGATTCAGACACACCCAGTATTTTGTTATTCGGAAGTTAGTTGGGAGTCATCGGCTAAGTTGTAATTTGGGGACTTCCCTTTAACATCTGTCTGGAAATTTCCTTCCCCTTTTCATGTGTCTCCATCTCACGTATACCTCTGATATGTAGCTTAGTGACTGACATTCTGAAGCTCACTCTCTCCGGTTCAAATCCTGACTCATAACTGGGTGCATGTCCTTGGCTAAGTCATTTAACCTCTTTGTGCCAGAGTTTCCAATTTGAATGATGGCAATAATAATCTTACCTACCTCAAAGTGTTGTTTTAAAAATTACATGAGGCCATGTTTCTTCCTGTTTCTTTTACTGTATATTGTTTTTGGTTTCTAATTTATTTTATATACATATATGTATGTGTGTGTGTGTGTGTGTGTGTGTGTGTGTATATATATATATATATATATATATAATTTTTTTTTTTTTTTTTTTAATACAGGGTTTCACCATGTTGGTCAGGCTGTTCTTGAACTCCTGACCTCAGGTGATCTGCCCGCCTTGGCCTCCAGAGTGCTTGGATTACAGTGTGAGCCACCATGCCCGGCCTTGGTTTCTAATTTTAAACACTTTCAAATGTCTAGAAACAGCTTTCTCATGTTTTTGTTTTTGTTTTTGTTTTTGTTTTTTTAAGGCGGAGTTTCACTCTTGTTGCCCAGGCTGGAGTGCAGTGACGTGATCTTGGCTCACTGCAACCTCTGCCTCCCAGGGTCAAGCAATTCTCTGCCTCAGCCTCCCAAATAGGTGGGATTACAGGCATGCGCCACCATGCTCGGCTGATTTTTTAATTTTATTTTTAGTAGAGACGGGCTTTCACCATATTGGCCAGGCTGGTTTTGAACTCCTGACCTCAGGTGATCCACCTGCCTTGGCCTCCCAAAGTGCTGGGATTACAGGCATGAACCACCACATCTGTCAGTCTTGTCACATTTTTAAGTGAGACACTAAAAGCTGATTGCAAGATTTTCATACATGAATAGAGCTAGTCCTTTGGTGGCCTTCACTGTTGGGTGATCACATAGGAAGAAATCATTTTGTCGGGGTGCTCTACGTTGGTATTTGTAGACCATTAAAAGTAGGAACTGTTGGACCATAAAATAAGTATATTTTTTAAAACTAAAAATTTTAAAAAGTAATTTTAACAAGTAAGAACTATAAAAACAAGATGCTCTCCAGAAGGCCAGGCAAAATTGTTAAAGAACCAAATAGAACTTTTAAAAATCAGTTTCCCAAGGAGGAATTCTACATCTAGTCTTCTGCCATGGCATAATCCTGGCTGCTAGCTCTTAGAAATTGGCATGGAAAAGGGAGAAAGGAGTTTCACAAGGTTCAGTTTGCTAACTTGCTGTTTGTTTGGTTGTTATTGTGGTAAAACACATGTAGTATACAATTTATTATCCTAAGCGTTTTAAAGTTTCAATTCAGTTGTGCTAAGTACATCCAGATTGTTTTGTAATCAGTCTCCGGAACTGTTTTCTTGCTGCAAAACTAAAACCCTGTACCCATTAAATTGTAACTTCCCCAGCATCTGACAAACACCATTCTACTTTCTGTCTAGGAATTTTACTACAGTAGTCCCCCCTTCTCTGCAGCTTTGCTTTCTTCAGTTTCAGTTACCCAAAGTCAACCATGGTCTGAAAATGTTAAATGGAAAATTATAGAAATAGTTCATAAATTCTGGGTTGGGCACAGTGATTCACGCCTGTAATCCCAGCACTTTGGGAAGTCGAGCCGGGTGGATCACCTGAGGTCAGGAGTTTGAGACCAGCTGGGCCAATTCGGTGAAATCCCGTCTCTACTAAAAATACAAAAATTAGCCAGGTGTGGTGGCGGGTGCCTGTAATCCCAGCTACTCAGGAGGCTGAGGCAGAAGAATCATTTGAACCTGGGAGTCAGAGATTGCAGTGAGCTCAGATTGTGGCATTGCACTCCAGCCTGGGGGACAAGAGCGAGACTTGGTCTCCAAAAAAAAAAGAAAAAGAAAAAAAGAGAAATAGTTCATAAATTCTAAACTGTGCCCCATCATCTGAGTAGAAACTGGCAGGTGAATCATTCCTTTGTCCAGTGTATCCATGCTGTGTATATCTGCTGCCCACCTATTAGTCACTTAGTAGCTGTGGGGTTATCAGATTTAGTATTATTGTATCATTCTATTATTAAATTATTGTTAAGTTGGCCGGACTTGGTGGTGCATGCCTGTAATCTTGGCGCTTTGGGAGGCTGAGGCAGGGGAATCACTTGAGGTGAGGAGTTCAAGACCAACCTGGCCAATGTGGTGAACCCCTGTCTCTCCCTGTCTCAACTAAAAATACAAAAATTAGCTGGACGTGGTGGCACATGCTTATAATCTCTGCTACTCAGGAGGCTGAGGCGGGAGAATTGGTTGAACCTGGGAGGTGGAGGTTGCCCTGAGCTGAGATCCCGCCATTGCACTCCAGCCTGGGCAATGAGCAAAAGTTTTTCTAAAATAAGTTGTTAATTTGGCCAGGCATGGTGGCTCACATCTGTAATCCCAGCACTTTGAGAGGCCAAGGTGGGCGAATCACTTGAGATCAGAAGTTTGAGACCAGGCTGGCCAACATGATGAAACCCCGTCTCTGCCAAAAATCCAAAAAATTAGCCAGGCATGGTGGCACACACCTGTAGTCCCAACTACTTAGGAGGCTGAGGCAGGAGAATCACTTGCACCTGAAGGTGAGGTTGCAGTGAGCCACCACACTGCACTCCAGCCTGGGAAACAGAGCAAGACTCCATCTCTAAATAAATAATAAAATGTTAATTTCTTTTTGTTTTTCTGATTCCCAAATCTCTTTTATTGAGGGTAATGGGCCTCTTGGGGGGGGTCCTCACTGCACCGCTTGTTCATTGGCACTGCTTCTCAAGTCCTGGGGCTTCATCACGTTGGGCAGCTTGGGTGGGCTGGAAAGCGGCTTGATGCACCGGGCCTCAAAGGTGTCATCTTCCTGGAAGGCCAGCCCCATTGTGGCTGGGGCCTGTGGCCATGCTGTTTGGCTGGTAAAGCCACACTTGCCCAGTGTCTTGCTACCATCCAAGAGTTGGTAACCCTTGTACAGCTGCTGCTTGTCTGGTGGCTGCTTGAGGATGCCCTTGATGATTCGCTTCAGCTTGAACACCGTGCTGGACTCCTTGGTGTCCTCGAAGATGGTTGTCTTGTGGCACCAGATCATGAGGAACACGTCATGGGGGCGGCAGGCCGGTGTGAAGGCAAAGCCTGGGACCTGTCCAGCGGCCCAGCTGCCCCCAGCCTGGCTGTCCCTCCCCAACCTAAAATGTGAATTTCTTACTATGCCTAATTTGTAAATTGAACTTTATCATTATGTATGTATAGGAAAAAAACGTAGCATATATATGGTTTGGTACCACCTGCAGTTTTAGGAATCCATTGAGGGTCTTGGAATGTATTTGATGGAAGAAGTGTTTTTCTTCTTTTCCCCTGCCCCGAGACGAAGTTTGACTCTGCCATCCAGGCTAAAGTGCAGTGGTGCGACCTTGGCTCACTGCAGCCTACGAGTCCTTGGTTCAAGCAATTCTTCTGCCTCAGCCTCCCGAGTAGCTGGGACTACAGGCACCAGCCACCACGCCTGGCTATTTTTTTCTTCTTTTTTCTGAAATGAAAAATGCAGCCCCTGTTGCATAGGCTGGAGTGCAGTGGTCTCAAACTCCTGACTTCATGATCTACCTGCCTTGGCATCCCAGAGTGTTGGGATCCGCTTTGCTCAGCTGGAAATTTAGTTTCATTAAGAGCTGTTTGTGATGTGTGCTTTAGAAAGTCCATTTTACATGATATACAAAGAAAGTCTGAATTGCATATACACCAGTTTGAACAGTCTTCTTTAGGATACTGTTTCTCACTTGTGTACTTCAACTTAATGGTAAATGAAGGTTTGGGAATTGTCCAGAAGCAAGCGTGGACGGAGGAAAAATAGACCTTTCTGACACCTTGTGGCCACACTGAGCACTACACGTGTGGTTGGCTTGACCTACACTCCTGTATTTTTGGGGCTCTTCACACTACAAAGTGCTCTTCCTTTTTCCCCCTTTTTAGGAGAGAATCTGTTCAAAATGAACAACAACAACAAAAGCATGAAAATTCTCTGCATACTGAAAATTTCAAGACTCTGCCTTTTAAAACTGTTTGTGGGTTTTTATGTATTTGGTACATACTACTAAGGAATTTAGAGAGTTCCCAATAGCATGAGGTTGACTGGCATATTCTTCCATAATGAGTTGTGAGTAAAATCAGACATAAAGCCTTGGAAATTAAGATGCAATGCAAATTTGATGCATTGTGTTAAAGGGAAAAACCTTAGACAAGTTAAGAAAGTTTTGTAGAGCAAAGAATGATTGAAGAATTGGGCACATGGGGTGCTGTGGCTCACTCCTGCAATCTCAGCACTTTGGGAGGCCGATGTTGGAGGATCATTTGAGGCCAGGAGTTTGAGACCAGCCTAGGCAACACAGTGAGACTCCTGTCTCTACAAAAAAATATAAAAATTAGCCAGGCATAGTAGTGCATGTCTGTGGTCCCAGCTACTATGAAGGCTGAAGTACGAGAATCACTTGAACTCAGGAGTTCAAGGCTGCAGTTAGCTATGATCACATTACTGCACTGCAGCCTGGGCAGCAGAGAGAGACTGTTATCGCTAAAAAAAATAAGAGCTTGGGTGCGGTGGCTAACACCTGAAATCCTAGCACTTTGGAAGGCTGAGGAGGGTGGATCACTTGAGGCCAGGAGTTCAAGACCAGCCTGGCCAACATGGCGAAACCCCATCTCTACTAAAAATACAAAAAATTAGCCACGTGTGGTAGTACACATCTGTAATCCCAACTACTCTAGAGTCTGAGGCAGGAGAATCACTTGAACCCAGGAGGTAGAGGTTGCAGTGAGCCGAGATTGCGCCACTGCACAAAAGCCTGGGTGACAGAGTACGATTCTGTGTCCAGAAAAAAAAAATAAAAAGGACAGGCTTCAGAACCAGAAAAGGTTCTAAGCACTCCGACCTGCAATGTGATCAGCCAGTATTTATGGGCAAAACAAAAGTGAGGTACAGGAATAATTTAATTGGTTGCAGCTTGTCATTTTGCCTTCTCTGAATCAGCTGGTGACCTGTGATTGAAGATGGGCTTCTGTAATTGACTGAGACTCAGCTGTTTGTTACTGGAATACAAATACTCCTAAGTTGGGCATTTAGTTTTCATGCTGTTAGGTTGTAGTTCCTTATGTGCTGACTGGAGTTTGGAGGCATCCTCAGGCCAAGTTTAGTTTAGTTTTTAACAATTAGAACTCTTATTTGAGTTCTTTGAAGTTTGTAGATGTAAACTGCTCCACTGCTACAAGTTCAGCTATAGTGAACTTCGAGTAAATAATCAAGTCACGGTGCCAGAAAACCGTATTGATCAAGCAAACTAAGTTTATTGGGCCTGATACACCTAGGAGAAAATGCCTCCTTGACAAAGTCTTAGTTGTGTCTCAAAAGTAGAGAAATTAGGAAATGGTGTTTATAGGATTTTAGGGTCTTGACTGGATCGTTTTAAGGTAGGTCTTGGCAAGTCAGGTCCCTGTTTGGGATTAGACAGTTATGACATTGTAGACATAAGGAGGGAAAGGGTTTTGAACCAAGTCTTGGTGAGTAAGCTGTTTAGTTGGTTCCCAATGTTATCTTCCAGGAATCTTACATTCTAGATTGTATCTTACAGATGTATCCTGGAGAAGCAGCGAAGTCACTTTGGTCTCAATGTTGTTGAACACAGGGACAAAAATACTGGTTTTTATTTTCAAAAGTAAGTCCTAAATTAATTTACATGAAGCATTTGTTTGTTTCAGCTTTGCCCGAAGTTTTTACATACAAATTCTACTAGTCACACCTGGCCATTCAGTGCAGTTGCTGAATTAATAGGTATGTAGTTTGACATTTCATGTACTATTTGTTGCTTGAAATTGTAGTTTTAAAAAATCTTTTACTGAAAACTTATGTACAGTGTCTTTTTATAAAAAGTGTCTTGGCCAGGCACTTAAGGCTAGAAGTTCAAGACCAGTTTGGGCAACATAATGAGATCCGGTCACTATAAAAATATTAAAAAAAAAAAAAAATCTGGGTAATGGTGGTGCATGCCTGTGGTCCCAGCTACTCAGGAGCCTGAGGTGGGAGGATCATTTGAGCCTGGGAAGTTGAGGCTGCAGTGAGCTATGACTGTGCCATTGCATTCCAGGCCAGCTTGGGCAGGCGACAGAGCAAGAAAAAAACAAATACCTCAAATGACAACATTAGTGGTAAAGATTACACAGCATAACAGCTATTCATATGGATGTCAAATTAATCACTGTTCAGCCTTCTCTTTAATACTACTCAAGTATTTTATAGTGTTTAGGATTTACTTGGCCAAGTTCCTAAATTGTTTATATTCTGATTATAAAAGTAAACAGATTTATGGGGAGTTTGTTTATTTTTAGACGAGGTCTCACCATGCTGTCCAGGCTGGTCTCAGACTCCTGGGCTCAGGTGATCCTCCCACCTCAGCCTCAGGAGTATCTGGGATTACAAGTGTGCATCACAGTGACTGGCATAATTACGTTTCTTTTTTTTTTTTGAGACGGAGTTTCACTCATGTTACCCAGGCTGGAGTGCAATGGCGCGATCTCGGCTCACCACAACCTCCGCCTCCTGGGTTCAGGCAATTCTCCTGCCTCAGCCTCCTGAGTAGCTGGGATTACAGGCACGCACCACCATGCCCAGCTAATTTTTTGTTTTAGTAGAGACGGGGTTTCACCATGTTGACCATGATGGTCTCGATCTCTTGACCTCGTGATCCACCCGCCTCGGCCTCCCAAAGTGCTGGGATTACAGGCTTGAGCCACCGCGCCCGGCCATAATTACGTTTCTTAGTAGCACAAAAGTATGTTACACATACAGCATGGATTCATTTTTCTGGTATCAGTAGGAGGATTAGTATTGTGTTAGATTTGTGATAAATTCTTGTTTCCTCTAATAAATGGGTAGTTTAAGGTTTAGGATTATATTTTAACAGCATTTCAGCGAACATGAGAAAGAGGCAAGGTTGCAGTCAGATTTGCATTTATGGGCTGTGATTTTTCTTCTTGGGAAAAATTCATGCATCGTTCATACCTGTAATCCCAACACTTTGGGAGACTGAAGCAGGAGGGTCACTTGAGCCCAGGAGTTTGTGACCACCCTGAGAAATATAGTGGGACCCCATCTCTACAAAAAAAATACAAAAATTAGCCAGGGCGATGCTGCACACCTGTAGTCCCAGTTACTCGGGAGTCTGAGGTGGGAGGATCACTTGAGACAAGGAAGTCAAGGCTGCAGCAGAGTGAGTCTTACTCCAGCCTGGGGAACAGTGAGACTCTGTCTCCAAAAAAAAGGGAAGAGAAAAAGAAAAGTAAAATTTATGCACATAAACATAAGCCTAGTTGAAAAATTTAGGCCTCTGTTTAAGAAACAGATAATAAAGGGATTGTATTCTTAGGTATTCTTAGTTATATTTTAGAATCTTTATCTATGAAGGGGTTCTATCTTAGATGGAAGAAAAAGAAGGAAGAAGGAAATTTTTTTTTTTTTTTTTTTTTTGAGACAGAATCTCGCTGTGTCACCCAGGCTGGAGTACTGTGGTGCAATCTCGGCTCACTGCAAACACTGCCTCCCGGGCTCGAGGGATTCAGCCTCCTGAGTAGCTGGGACTTGAGGTGTATGCCATGATGCCCAGCTGATTTCTGTATTTTTAGTAGTGACGGAGTTTTACCATGTTGGCCAGGCTGGTCTTGAACTCTTGACCTCAGGTGATCTGCCCACCTTGGCCTCCCAAAGTGCTGGGATTATAGGCGTGACTTACCACACCCAGACTTCGTCTCTCTCTCAATCATCTCTGCAGTGTAGTGATTTTTCTTCGTTTGTACTTCTTTGGTTTGCTGGGTATCAGTCTTGCCATCTGTTTCCCATGAAGGTGTTAATTCTGTAATAGTCAATTAGTATATACTAGGATACAGTTTATTTTCATGTTTTTAAATCTTAAGAGTGCCTACAAATTGCAGCTTTTAAAGTTGTCTTAAACATGGTCTTCTATTGCTTCTTATAGGATTGTTCTGAACTAATTACTCTTTTTCAAAGTGCAGAATCAAATTTTTTTCAAACTTGTATTTCCCAGATAATGCTTATGATCCTGATGTGAATGCTAAACAAATATGGATTGACAAAACAGTGATAAATGACCATATATGCTTGACATTCACTGACAATGGGAATGGTATGACTTCTGATAAATTGCATAAAATGCTAAG